TCTTTTACAAATTGTTTTTAAATAAAAATCTGATATTTCTTTTATGCTATTGCTCTGTATATAAGGTATTTTGTTATTGTTTTGTTTCTATTGGCGTCTTTCAAGACTTTTTTTGTCTTTGATGTTTTAAAGTTAAATATCGTGTTACAGTCTTTTTCATTCTTTTTCTCTTTGCATTTCAGTTCAGCATTTCTGTCATCATATGTTTAAGTTCACTGATTCTTTTTTTGGCTACTTCTCATCTACAGTCTGTCAAAAGCATTATTCATTTCTGTACAGTGCTTTAATTTCTAGCATTTACTTTTGACTCTTAGAATTTTCATCTCTCTTGTTCTATTACTTATCTATTAACGTATATTGTACAGTTTCTCCATCAGAGCCCTTAAAAATTAATCGTAGATTTTTTTTTATATTTTCAATCTCTTATATACCTATGAGGGCTTTTGTCGCTTCATTTTGTTGCTTTTTTGCATGCTTTGTAATTTTGTTATTGTTGTTGTTGTTGCCATTGTTCTTGTTGAAAATCAGATAAAAATGTATTGGATTAAATAAACTGAGATTAATAGGCCTTTAATGTGAGACTTTCTTTTTATCTGGCTAAGGGTTAGGCTATGTTTGCTGTTCATTATAGCTGCAAGTATCAAAGAATAAAATTTCCTCTGGTGTCCTAGTTTTTGTCTCCACTGTTTTGCTTGGTTTTGCTAGAAATGGTTTCTTAAACAGGGTCTGAGCTTTGCAATTATTTCAGCTAAAGTCCTTTGTTATCACATAGGAGTCTGATTGAGATAGTGGCAATCATTCCATAATTCTATGATGAAGTTTTAGTCTTTTAATGAGCCTATCCACCTGGACTGTTATCATCATAAATGTTTCTCAGGTTCACCTCCCTTTAGGTAACATGGGAAAGCTAGAGGGGCCTGAGTTGGGTGTTTCCCTTTTTCCTGTTAGGTTAGGCCTTGGTAAATTTTAAATAGTTTAGGTTCTGATAAACTAGTTTCCCCTGAAGGCAGGTTTTTGAAAAGGAGAACAGAATGTTCTGGGCTCATTTTTTAAATGATTACCTTTTCCTTTCTACCTGCCTGAAGCATAAGGGGACCTTTATCTAATTTTCACCCTGAGAACTGGTTCTGCTCCTCTAGGCTTAGGCAAAACTTATGAAAGTGTGAGGTCTCTAAGATTATGTACCATGGAGTTTTTAATTCTTAAGTTCAACCACAATGAGCCTCTAGAAATTAATCAACTTCATTTTTTAAAAATTTGTCCTAACTTATGCATAAAAACATAAACATGGTACATATTAAATACAATATGATGTGTCAGTACATGAACTCATTGCATTCGATTGTAATCTAAGTGTTTCTGCTGGTACTGGCATAAACTCTTGAGATTTTAATACAAGTACACAGTGGGCAGGAGTTTGTCCTGTGACTTCAATTACCTAATGAATCTAAGAAGAGTTGATAATTTTCCATTAGTTCAATATATTTTTTGTGTGAGGAAGGGAATGACAATTTCCACACTCTAGTTAGAACAATTGGTTAAAAACTAATACTAGAAAGAATATGGAAATTGCCACTCTCTTTCTCACATAAATACAATATCTTTATTTTGTTTTATTTATTTATTTATTTTATGTGGTGCTGAGGATCTAACCCAGTGCCTCTCACATGCTAGGCAAGTGCTCTACCACTAAACTACAATCCCAGCCCCTAAACTTACTTTTGAAAGTAGCAATTTCTGTCCCCCCAAATTATTTTCCCTTGTTCACTACTACATTAAGTTGCTTTAAATATTAATTATTGGACTATTTCATTGTCATATCATCCCCATGGATATATGCATGTGTCCAAAACTCACCAAACTGTGTCAAGTACATATGTGCAAATTTTTAGTATATAAATTATACCCTAAAGAAGCTGTTAAAATAAATTCAAGGGCTGGTGCTGTAGCTCAGAGGAGAGCACTTGCTTAGCACATGCGAGGCACTGGGTTTGATCCTCAGCATCACATAAAAATAAACAAATAAAATAAAGGCATTCTGTCCATCTACAACTACAAAAATATTTTTGAAAAATAAAATAAATTCAAATGTGTGTGGCTCATCCCTCCCCACCCTATGTAAAGCCTTTTAATGAGATATTTCTGAAGTCATTTGAAATACATCCCAGGATTCCCTCACTTGTATCCCCCATTCAAAACCTATTTCTTTAGTGTTTCTCTTTCATGCGTTTTCCAAAAACATGCTCCTATCTTCTCTTACAGAAAATTCCCCACTTTTCCTTTTGTCTACCCAGTTTCTCAAGTGTTTTCTAACTAATTTAGACAGTATCTTCCTCCTTTGAAATTCTTTTATAAGCATGACTGTATCACCCTGCTTTACTTCACTTTTCCTATGTTTTCAACTGTTTTACTTTTATCTACTCATTTGAATTTTAAAGCTTAATGGAGTCAGAGACCAGGATTTTTAAAGTTTACATTTCTCTTATACCAAATATCTCACCCATAGCTAGACACTTATTAGAAACTGACAAAGAATCATTGATGGATTGTTATATGTCAATATTTGGTAGGAAATTATGACTGCTCTGCAGAGTGATTTGTACACATAAACACCAACCTGCTATTTAATTCCAAAAAAGCAAGTCACCTCTAGGTTTTTAAGAGCTGATAATTAAGACACCTCATATATATTAATAGATGGACCAAGGATCATTTTTCAAATCCTCTCTCCAAATTCTTTCTGTAGCTTGTGAAGAGCTGTTTTTGGAAACTGCATTAGAAAAGCAGAGGGAAAGGTTTGGTCGTGAGGAACAAGATCAGCTTTCGGCCCTGTGTTTGGCAGAGGTTGTGGCTGACTTCCCTGTGAAGCTTTAAATCAAACTGAATTTGTGGTGCCTAAGCAGCTTCTGGAACTACAGGAGGGTTATCCATTGCAGGTTATATAGAGCTAAAATAATTGAATATGGTGAGATTTATCAGTAGTAGGGAGGAAATGGAGGGAGCAAATCAATGTAAACCTGAAGATAGTAAATTCCCAATTTTTCCTTGAGGAAAAAATATAGAAAGGGGAAACTATAACTTTAGTTAGAAAGAAAAACACTTATCAGAAAGACTAACAGTAAAATGTACTTTCAAATATTCAGTTAAGATTTCAGCAGCTCAGAAGGCTAGACAGGAGGATCACAAGTTCAAGATCACCCTCATCATCTTAGCGAGGCCCTAAGCAACTTAGTGAGACTCTGTCTCAAAAAAATCAGTTAAGAAAACCTTATACTCGCTTTATGTACAGTGACAGTACATAAATGTCATGGACAAGAGAAGACTTACTTGAACTACAAATTCTAGTATTCTAAACTCTCAGGCATGGACACTGTTGGAAGAGAACAGAAACAGAGTTAATTTTAAAAGCATGTCTACTATAAATAAAATTTGGGCTTAAGATTTCACTGGAGATTCTCAGAGTCTGGAAACTGTCTTCCACCAACCCTACTTTAAGCCCTTCCTTCTCTCAAAAGCCAGAAGATATTAAGCCAAGTCAACCCTAAATATCAATAAGTATAAATACAAATATTTTTGTATAAGTCAAAATCTAAATAATCTACCTTCAGATAATGAAATGTTTATATTCAATAACATTCCTTTGCATTTGTAGAGTGCTATTTACTTTTCAAATCACTTTAACGCATTTCATTCTCACAACAAAATTAAGCATATGAGTTTTTTTCTCCAACTTAAATGAGTTAAATCAAAGCAAAACTTAGTTAATGATTTTTTAAGGATCCAGCTTGAGTTTCAATGAGAGGCCTGTATTTAGAACCCAGCTTTTTCCTAAGTACAATTGCCTTTTCCAACTTATGCACAGTACTGGTAACTCAGGATTCCTTCCTAAGCTCATATTCATATGTCCACACTGAAGATAAGAAAAATACATTCTACTGTCATGTGTAACTAAAGAGAACACATAAAAATTAATAAATAAATGAAGGGCAAGACAGCACAAAACAACAACAAAAAAAGAATTACTTTTGGTTCCCCATTTCATATGAAATATTTTATTCTTACAAATCTGTGTATGTAAGGACATGTACTAGAACCAAAATGCAGGACTGCCAGAACTTTGTCACATGACTATCTCCCTCTTTGGAAAAAGGCAGCAGAATAAAGAAAAGGCAGTAGGATACCCAGTTTCATCTTGCTCAGGAGGTAATACATTGCTAGTAAGAATATAACACTTCAATAATCAAAAGCTGCACCCCTTAAAAAAGAGTACTGGAAAATCAACTTCTCTGCAAAGAATACCTATCCCTGGCTATTATAGACCCTTTGCAATTTCATTTGAGAAAGCAAAAACCTGAATGTTACATAAAGCATGTTACTTCCAGTGAGTTGGCAAAGCAGAAGGGTGATTGTGGAGCATTGTCTGGAGAAATCAGGGCCAAGGTAGAGGTGGGATGAGCATCACTGGGGAGATTAGGGAGCCTGCCACATTACTGCATTAAATAACAAGCAAGAGAAAAGAAGAGAAAAAGCTTCTCACTGATATTTGAAAATTGAAGGCCATTAAACATCTTTGGTTTACTTTTCATATGGCAACCATTTACTGCCTAAAACTCTGACCTCTAAAAACAAAACCTATACTTCTAAAAATGTGTTTTTCCTTCATATCATAATATAAAAGTATCCAATTAGTTCTCATAAAATCAGTTTAGAATATGGAAGCTAATGTTCCATCTTTTTTGCCACAGAAACCATGTTGGCTTCATTTATCATGCTAATATTTTGTATTACTGAGTTCCTCACTTTTCTTTCTTATTTGTCCTTCAGTCAAGGTACATTTTGTATTTTCTTATTTGAGGGTCCACATACACATAAATCCAGGCAGAACTCTCTGTGGCCATCAGAGACTTAGGATGGGAGGATTGTGTAACAATTTGTAGACTACATGGATGCTTTCTACCCAATACAAACTTATTAAAACAATAATACTGTCTTTATTTCAGACTCCTCAAAGAGCATCTTGGAGAAAAAGAAGTTGAGTTGGCACTCATTTTTGATTCAGTGGTGGAGGCTGACCTGGCTAATTACACCTGCCATGTAGAAAACCGAAATGGACGGAAACACGCCAGTGTTCTTCTGCGTAAAAAGGGTACTTATTTTTATAGCTATAACTATATTTTGTTTACTCACAAATAGTTTAAAGTTGTATGTTTAATAGTTTAACGTTGTATGTTTTCTGGCTTTATTGTATCATAAAGTATCAATTTCTGTTAATCATTTTGTGTCTTCAAGGAACAATATTTCTCATGTACATAAAATGCCTATGATCTTCAGTATCACTAGGAACTAAATAAGTAAACTAAGCCTTATTATATGTTAAATCAATTGAGATGAAATGTACCTGATTATAATCATGTTACATTAAATGGAATCCACAGATTCATTCAATATTTTGTCTGTATTTCACCTTCATATATCTTATGTTATTTAAATATAATGATAGGAATTGTATGAAAAATTTGAAAACCGTATGAAAAACAAAGTTGCTTGTTTATTTTCTGACTAAAACTTAAATAAAATAATTAATAGTGTCCTATAACCTTTCAATTATAACGTAAAGTTTATAAGCTATATTTTGTAATATAACCTGGTGTTAAGAGGCCTTTCATAGGTCAATATATTTCTAAATAATTTGGCATTTATGGAGATCCCTATCTAGAATCAGATCTGGACTGGATGAAATGTTTATAAAGGACAAAGAAAAGAAACTCTAAATTTACAGACCTAAGAACAATCTCAGCAGCTAAAGAAGTTTCTAAATTGGCTCTTACCTTGCTATGACTCTTGATTACTGCAAGAGGCTAAATACTTTGTGTGTGCATCTGGCAAAAGTTTTGTAAATGTAGCAGAACAAATGTTCTCAATCAGTGTTCTTGTTGCCTAGGCTATAGAGCAATAGAACAATTCAATCAGCAAGGTCACCATTTGTACATCCTGGCCAGGATGGAATTTCTATTTTCCAGCCAGCCTTAATTCTTGAGCATGACCAGAAGCTCTGGAAGAAAATGAGAAGTGTCATTATTCCAAGAATAATGCTTCTCTCTCTCTAGCACCATTTCTTAATTCTATTGTACTTGATTCTTTCTTAAAATAAAGGAGTACTTAAGTATAAATGAGTCTAATACAGAAAGTAAAGTCAGGAGATCCAGGTTCAGCCATATAGTTCAGTAGGATTTTTTGTCTGATTATGATTCCTGAATATTAGCTTCCTCATCTGTAAAATAGGGGTTATAATATCTACCTTCTTGAGTTACTTTGAGTTCAAATGATAATGATATGATGGATGTGAAATTTATTATGCCTAAATAATTTTTATTATATGAAACTTGCATAATTTCTCCTATGTTATCCTATGCATTAGGAAACCACTTAGTCCACCTACATGAAGGGCAGGCACTGACCATGTCCAGGTACCTTATAGCAAAGATCACTTCGTTCCTGTCCATTTCAGTCTTATTTCATGTTCAGAGATTCTCCAAGCCAGAGATGCTGCTGTACTTCTGTACCTTTAGCAATTTAGGCAGTGTCTGGCCACTAATAGGTACCTTGAATATATTCTGGTCAAATAAATAATTAAAATTATATTTTGTCATTGAGGATTCATGTATAGCAAGCACCATGCTTATTGTGAAGAATAGACTGCTGAATAAAATAGTTATCCCTCAAGTCTTGTGGAGCTTGTAGTCTTTGTGGAGGTGAGAATGCAAAGAAAGCCATACATTAAATATTAAGAAAAAATTCACAAAAGATATATAGTGTTACAATTAGAAACCTCCTATTAAGAAAAATATTGAGGGTACTATAATTTAGCCAGTGGAGACAGGCATAGTCTTATATTAGTTTTCAAATAAAGTCATCACTCTTTAATAAGTAAAACAATAAACAACAGTCCATAAAATTTCTAGAAATCTGACTCTGTCAAATAAGACACTCTGTAAAACTCTGCTACCTCCTATAGTTTCTACAAGCAAACCTATCTAAAATTATGAATAATTGATTATATCAATTCTCATCTTTCTAGTATTTAAATATTGGGGTTCCCAGGTTTCAGGTCTCTTTGCTCATTGGCCAGGTAATTTCATTCAGCCTCCATCATGTTTTTGCTTACCATATATGATGAAAACTCCAATATTTATATCACTAGCCAGGATTTCTCACCTGAACCCCAAACTTGTATATCAATTTGTCTGGTCAACTACACCATTTTGAGATCTAGTAGCCATATCAAATTTTGCTTTCCCCAAACAAGATTTCTAATTTCTCCCCTCTACAAATCTCATCCTTCAGTCTCCTTCTTTATCTCCATCACCATCCTTCTGGTTGCTCAGGCCAAAATTTGTGAAGTCATTCTTCACTTTACCTTTTCTCTACCCACATCCTATATTGAGCCCATCAAAAAAATCCCATGGCTCTACTTTCAAAGCCTATCCAGAATCTGATCACTTCCATCACTGCCCCCACTGTATTCTGATGGACCAGCACAAATTGAATGAAATCCCAAACCTGAACTATGACCTATACGGCACTTCACAATCTACTTATTTTTCCTCTTACTTTCTACAACACTCTGTCTTAATCATCATACACACTAGCCCCCTTTCTATTTCTCATGCTTATTAAGTACAGTCCCACCTCAAATACTTCACACAGGCTATTTCCTCCTTCCAGAAACACTCTTTCCTCAGCTATCTCCATGACTCACTCCCTTATTTCACACAGTTGTCTTCTTATATATTACCTACTCATTAGGTCTTCCCTGGCCACCATATATGAAATATAATTAGCTTAATTTTCTTTTTTTTCTAACATGTCTGATTTCTTTTTATTGTTTTCATTATATTTGATATTATAATTACATATTTGTTGGCTTCTTTTCTTCTTACCCCACTACAAAGTAAACAGCATGAGAACAGGGACTTTACCAGTCTCATTTATCATTTTACCCCTAGTATATAAAACACAATAAGTGCTCAAAAATATTTGTTGGATGAAAACTCTCCTCACAGAGGACCAGGACAGTGGGGGTAAGAGAAAGATAAAAGGATTAATACAGAGAAGATTTTATCTGTGCTCTTGTCTTAACTACTGTCTTCCCTGGTTTACCAAAATACATGTTTTCCTTTCAAAAATTTTTACTTTCCAAGTTTTTATTCTCTTATTTTTGTGTGTGTAGTGTTGGGGATTAATCCTAGGAGCATTCTATCTCTGAGCTATATCTCCAGCCCTCTTTTGTTTATTTGTTTGTTTTGAGAAGAATATTCCTAAATTGGCCATCCTGGCTTGATATTTGCAATCCTCCTACCTCAGTCTCCTGTGCCACTGGGATTACACTTGTGTCCCACCATGTCCACCTATACTTTCCATGTTTCATATTGAAAACTCAAAGTCCTCGGGGACTAGGCAGTTAGAGAATGTTTTTTAAACAGCCAGATTTAAAAAAAAAAAACATACATTAAAGAAAACATCTCTTGCTTTAAATGGGTTCTAGAAGATTTTTACCATGCTTACTAGAATGTGGGTTCATGTATATGAGAGCTTGAAAGTTTTCAAGAAGCTGAAAGGCTGATTATTAAACATTTTCATTTTTAAATATTAATATTCATTTTTGAAACATTGTGAACTCCAACAAAACAATTTTTCACTCACAGTACACCAGTTTACCCTCTCCATTCTAGGCAACATTTATTATTATTTTTTCACTTTTTCATCCTTGCAAAAGGATGCAGTTAATCTTTTCTCATTTAGTCTTATTAGCAGCTCTCAAAAATATGGAAGAACCCCAAAGAAGAGCAAAAATCCATATGATTCTACCCTAATTATTTTAGTCAGACCAAAGTTTTGGTTGTCTTGAGAAGCTTCAGACATATCCTTTGGAGTTATATCTTTTTGGTTTTATCTCAGCATAGACTGATCTTGTTGACTATAGATTTCCTAACTGGAGTATGAATATGGCTTTTTATGGAACAATAACTTCTTAATGATCTGTAAGTCAAACATTTTAAATTTTCTAAGTGATCAATATGAGAAGAAAAGTAATTAATCCATTCATAAACTAAAAAAGGCCTTTTGAAAAATGAAAACTCATGTCCAAATACCCAATTAACAGGGTCAGATTTTGTAAAAACAAAATGCCCTTTACCTATGCATCTTCAACCTACACTTACCACTTTTTTATTCTTAGATGAAACATTAGTCAGTAAGTACAACTAAATTTCAGTATAAGGTCTGTCCTAAATATTTTTACTTTTTTGGTATGCCGAGACTCTGATCTTAAGCTAAAGAAATTCTCATAATTATTCCTCATTCTCTGCAAAGAAAAAAAAAAAGATCTTTACCACAAAACAGATATGTGTCACTGAATACCTCTTTTCATTTCAGTCTTCTTGTTATGCCCTAACTCTTCAAAGTATACAGAAAGTTTTCTTAGTGTATTCAGGTTGCCATAAAATTTACCTAAGATCAAGTAATTTATAAAGAACAGAAACTTTATTTCCCACAGCTCTGAAGGCTGTAATGTCCAAAATTAAGGCACTGTTAGATTCATGTGTGATAAGGATCCAGTCATCTTTTTTATATAAGAGAATATCAGAATGGCCTTTACAACCCATATTTCTGCCAATATTCAAATCAACACCACTTAGGTAATATCTAAGAATATTGAGGCTTTCCCTACAGAACTATTATTCTAAGCCCTCCCCAAAATCTCTCAAGGCTCCTTTCATAGCAGTGGACCTCAAAACTCTATCCATTACCCAAAAGCACTTCCACATTTTTAGGTATTTGTTACAGTAGCATCCTACTTCTCAGTACCAATTTCTGACTTAGTTCATTTGATTGCTACAGCAAAATGCATTAGACTGAGTAATATATAAATAACCAAATGTATTGCTTGTAATTCTGGAGGCTGGGATATTCAAAATCAAGGTACCAGCATATCTGGTGTCTGGCAAGGACCCTTTCCTCAGAGATGGTGCATTTTATGTGTTCTCACATGGCAAAAGAGGTAAACAAGTTCCCTCAGACTTCCTTTATTTTTTTCACTTTTTGTAGTTGTAGATGGACAGAATGTCTTTATTTTATTTGTTTTATTTTTAATGTCGTGCAAAGTATTGAACCTAGTGCCTCACACATGCTAGGTAAGTGCTCTGCCACTGAGCCTCAACCCCAGACCTCCTTTATAAGAGCACTAATCCCACTCATAAAAGTGGAGCCCTCATGACCTAATCGCCTCCCAAGGGCCCCATATTTTATTGCTATAACTTTGGGGTTGGGTTTCAACATATGAATTTTGAGAGGACATGAACATTCACATAACAGGAAAAAGTCCTCAGGTTAGGATCTCCTAACCTGCCTCCCAAATTATAAGTCAGAAGAGCAAGTTCAAACATTCCCAGCCCTCTTTCTCTCCGGTCTATTGGCTTCAGGTGCTATTTGTTCCATTCTGTAGTATCTGATGTTTGTATTCATAGTAAAGAAATAGGTAGGTTCAAAGTAAGAAGATTAAAAAAAAACTATACTTGTACTTTGGGTGCCTAGAAAAAGTTACAATCCCATCCCATAAATATCTGCTGTTCTAACTACAGCTATCCTCATGAATAGTATACAAGTACAGCCCAAATAAAATGACTTTCAGCTTCACAGTCAGGGAATGTCCCTAGAAATATAGCTCCTGCTGAGATACAAAATGGCAATTGAAAACAGAAGACAAAAGAAAAGCCAGGTGTTATTTGGGTGATGGCAATTCTCCCCTCTGATTATAGGATAGATGTTTCCCTTTTGATGTGACTGCCTGATCAAAGAATACAGGTTGAGTCTCAGAGCCTAGATCCATAGTTTTCAACTTAAACACCCATCATTATGTAATACTTTTCAAAGACTTTTTCTTATAAAATGGACTCCAAGATCACAAAGGTACTTTTCACACCATAGTTTTCTTCCATAAATTTACTGCTGAATAAAGTGTCTGCTTCTTGGGAGCATAAATTGTTTCTGCTGCTGAATTTTCCCATCTACCTAATATAAATTCTACTCTGTAAATAACATAGAAATTGGTGGTAAAATCCCCATTAAGTGACTTTGAAAACAGTTAACGCTGTTCTGACCAGAGAGAAAAATGTGAGGGGGGCGGGCGGGTGTAGGAGAAAGAGGGAGAAAGAGAGAATAGCATTTATATCATAAAATAAACATAACAGGAGAAAAACATTTTGGGTTAAGTCAATTAATGCCCTAAAATGAAAGAGAAACTGATTTTCAGAGTAACAACAAATTGTATTGCTTTCATCATAACACTGGCTATTAATTATTCATAACTGATGTAAGACAGTAAGAAAACAAATAAAGATTGGTGATTTGCATCTCTACAGAGGTCTCTTTGAGCAAGCTTGGTTTATCTCCCACAGAGAGGTAGGCAGTGTAGAGGAGAAGAAGCAGAGCTAATTTGTGGTGGGAATTATTTTTTCAAATTAAAATTTGCTTAATATCCAAAATGAACTCCTTTTGCAACAGATAGATTCCAATTTTCTATCACTGCTCATTACATGTCCCCTCATAATATTCCTAATTGATATAGTTTGTACATCATACCAGTCCCACTCTCTTCCTTTCTTCATTCTTCTCTCTCAATCCTTGCTCAAAAAAGGTGACCTTTGTGATTTTTATATTTCCACTCCATGATTTTCCTTATTGGCTGGCCACCATCATCTCCTCTCTCACTCCACTTCCTTTACAAGACTAAATTCCCTTTCTCCACACAAAACCTAACATATTTTTTATAAAATGAACTCCAGGTATCCCATCCTTTCTCCCCTGCTACAGCTACAAGATTCTGTAGTACCCCCCCCCCATTGATGTTTCCGAGAGCTACCCAGTTCTTTCATTCTGTCTGATAAATTGTAGTTTATCTTTTCACCTTGGAATTAAAAGGTCAAAAGAAGTCAAAATTCACAAGTCATATGATATTCAGGAAGTACTACCAACAGTCTATGGAAAATTAGGTAGTATTTCTGTGCTTACATTCAGAATAGAGCATGTAAAGCTGTGGTATAATAAAACTTCAATTTGAAGTTAGGAGACCTTGGCTCATGTCCTATATTGGCCACTTCTTTTAGGTACATGACCTTGGATAAGTGACATACTACCATTTCAAATTCTTCATCTACAGGTTTGAATATTTTTTGTGCTGTAGGATTATTTACACAGTAGATAATAGACTGGATAAAATTTTTATCTATAAAGTAGTATATTCCCTGTATATGCTATATGCTTTTCTTTTTACAAAGTATAACATGGTAAATCAATCTTAATTGATATATTGGTCCTGATTATTTTTTCTTAAGCAATGATCATATGAAAAGACAAGGAGATTCACAGAGAAATATTGACTATCTTATTTTCAAGAGTGACATATTGACATGGCCAGTAATTTAATTTTGACAGTGCTCTAGAATTGATCCATCCAGAGAGACTGACCAATGCCAACGAAACTCAAAAACAACTGATGTATAAACCAGAATGTCATTCCCTTTCCCAGTTTCTCATTACTTGGAGAGCTAAATTAGTAATAGAATAGCCACTTGGTAATTATGAATTAGATTAAAAGGAGGTCAGATAATCTTTAAGCAATTTCATTGAATTATGATGAGACCACTAAATGTTCTTGTCCTCAGTTAAAATATATTTCTGCTCTCATGTCTCTCAGATTTAGCATTTCTTCTCTTTACAGTGCTGAACTCACATTCTAAATTCTCTTGATTTTCCATTTCCCTAAATTCCATGGTAGAATTCCCTCTTTTGATGATACATTCTTTAGATTTGTTAATATCACTAACTAATCTATGGGTAATTCACTGTTCCCTGATCCAGGGAGACATTCTGTTTCCTTCTATTATGTGTTGATTTGATTATCCCAACTCTCAGAGTTCTAGGGATACCCACTGGAGCAGCCTAATACAGGTGTAACCTGGTGTTAGTCAAAGAGGCTAAATGATTAGCCAGTATTTCTCATTCTCTTTTAATTCCACAGTGCGTATTATATCACATATATATTATGGTCATTTATTCAAATAAGTAGGGGAAATGGGTAAGGTAATTTCCTCTGCTTACCTTGTATTAGATTATGCCCTACTGGGGTTAAGTGAAACAGTTTAATATTTCATCCTTATTAGATTTTATTTGATTCTGAAAGTAATTTTATGACGTTGTTCTCCTTCAGAAGAATAGGGCCTGTGGCCTGAGAAGTTCAAGATGGTAATCTTGCTAAGCCAATGAGATAATTTAGCAAAAAACAAGAAAACATAGGCCCTGAAACCAGAACAACACAGCTTTAACAGTTCCCTGAAATACAGTTAAAGCAATAGTATATATATGAAAACAATATAAATTGGGAGTGACTATTCCATTTTAGATAGACTTGTGACCTTTAATAGCAAATAAGAAAGAAATATGAAAGACAGGGGAATAGTTCTGACCTAAAATTCCTATGTAAATATATGAATATACCACAGTGAATCTCACATCATGTACAACCACAAGACTGCAATCCTAATTAGAATAAGATGTACTCCATGTTTTGTTTAAATGAGTTAAATTATACTTGACTGCCATGTATAACTAAAAATAAAAAAATAAAAATAAATAAAATAAAAACAAATCAGTCAAATTTTTAGAAAATAATTAATTTTACAAAGATTTGATTCATACAGATATATCAAGAGTAAAGCATTAAGCAAGAATATTTTTGAAAGAAAATACAAAGGGGTAATAAATTTTACACACAAACTAGAAATCTGGGAAAATCCCAAGTATCCCTGGTTTAATTACCTTTTCCTGTTGATTCTGTTTGCTTCAGATTTAATCTACAAAATTGAGCTTGCAGGGGGCTTGGGAGCAATCTTCCTCCTCTTTATACTGCTGGTGATCATCTACAAATGCTACAACATTGAACTGATGCTCTTCTATAGACAGCGTTTTGGAGGTGATGAAACTACTGATGGTAAGTTGTCTCCTATTGTTCAATTAAAATATTTATTTATAATTATGTAAAAGAATATCCCTATTCTTTTTTTGGAGGGGGCACCAGAGGTTGAACCCAGCCAGGGTCACTTAACTTCTCCCCCAGCCCTTTTTATTGTTTATTTTGAGACAGGGTCTCACTAAATTGGTTAGGGCCTCTGTAAATTGCTGAAGCTGGCTTTGAACTTGCAATCCTCTTGAGTCAGTTTCCCTAGTCATTGGGATACAGGCCTGAGCTATTGCACCTGGCAAGAATATCCCTATTCTTTAGAAATATGAACTGAAATATTTAGATGTAAAAGGCCATGATATATGCAACTTACCCTCAAATAATTTAGAAAAACAATTTATCTGTCAAGAAAGAGAAAAGAGGATTAAATATTAATAGGTAAATCTAGGTAAAGGATATATGTATTTTTTGAAATAATTTTATTTTTGCAGTGCTTTGTTTGAAATAATTTCCAGAAAAGTTTAATAAGAAGGCATTATTTGGTTAGGAAATAAAATTATTCCTGTTAATGCCTTTCCCTTAGTAAGAAATAAATTAAGAATAAATTCTGTGTTTTAATCCCAGCTATCTGGGAGGCTAAGGCAAGAGGATCATAAGTTCAAGGCTAGCATGGGCAAGTTAGCATGACCATGTCTCAAAATAAAATAAAAAGAGCTGAGGATGTAGCACAGTGGTAGAGCATGCTTAGTATGTACAAAGCCCTGGCTTTGATCCCTAATAACTCAAAAAATTTAGAAAAAAATCAATTCCATGTTTTTGTCTAGAAAATTCACATGTATGTACAGATCATTTTTAACCATTGCTGCCACCAAGAAAACAAACATGGAGCTGAGGTCATGGCTCAGTGGTAAGTGCTCATCTCATATGTGTAAGGCACTGGATTTGATCCTCAGCACCTCATAAAAATTAATAAAATGAAATTATTTTTAAAAAATTTTAAAAAGAAAATAAACATGCAAGAAACAGATTAAAATCTACAGAAATACATTTTACACCTCAAAGTACATGAATGTACATATTTTGAATGCTTGTAGCACTATTCTCAAAGGTGACTTAAAGGATAAAAAATTTAGACTATGTGTTATACTTTTCTATTTGCTTTTCATGCCTTTTGGAAATCTTTTTTATGATGTATCAACAAAGAATTGTACTGAGCCTTATGTATTTGGACAACCAATGTTTCAGTTTTTTTCAATAGAACAAATTACCATGTTTTCAATCAACACCAATAAGAAATCATGACATATTGCTTCTTATAAAGCCTTCAACCCTACAGACTACTGTGAGCCTTGTAAACGTGTAAAATGCCTTAGGTAAGCCTACATTTTTATTTTTATTATTTATTTTATTTTATTTTATTTGGTACTGGGGATTGAGCCCACAGAAACATTACCACTTAGCTACATCCCCACATCACCAGCCCTAGTAATTTAATTTTATTTTATAGGGTCTCACTAAGCAACTTATGGCCTCTTTAAATTGCTGAGGCTGGCCTCAAACTTGTGATCCTCCTGTTTTAGCCTCTGGAGTCATTGGGATTATAGAATTACAGGCATGCACCATTGTTCCTGACCCACATTTTTTGAAAAACTACAAATTGCAAATCATTATTAAAAGGCAGTTCAAAACTGAATTTTTGTCATACTGAAATCAAGAGAGAAATTTTGCTTGTGTTTTTCCCCCCTTCTTTGGGTTAATGGTCTTAACAAAAATGGTCTTACAGAAAAGAAGAGAAGTTCATGATTTTGTTTTATTTTTATAGTGACAGGTGTAATATCAAAATTTTGAAGATCTTTTATTTGGGTCTTATTGTTACTATTAAATGGCTATGTGTGTGAGTCTTAATTGACTTTCATATTTTCACAGTAAATTAGAGAAATGCTCCTTGATGAGTAAATATGCATATTTATTTCCAAGATATATATTTACATAATTATACTAGCCTGTTTAAAAGTACTACACACTCCTCTATATGTGTAATAAGAATTGTAATGCAAAAAAAATAAAAATTAATAAAAAATAAAAGTACTACACACTCTTATTCAGACGTACCTTCAAAATGAGAAATTCCAACTTGTTCTAACCATTGTTATAGAGTACTCATGAAAATATGGTCAATTACCCTCTGCTCTTTTATACAGTAATTCATGTTGAAAAATCTGACTTCTTACCTGTTCATGTAAAATAACTAGATGAAATATGCTACTGAAGAAAATGTCACTAGTTCCCAGATGAACAAGTGGCTAAACTATCCATTTGGGAAGGTAAAAGATGAACATCTTTTATCATCTCTGTAAGAAATGATACAATTTATTGGGTTAATTTACAATAATTCTCATCACACATACCCAATAATCCAAAGTAACTGATTATTTGGAGTATGCAAATTAATATTAAGCCCGTGCTAATATCATTGGATTATCAGGGATCGAATATTTCATTTTACATCTTTATTACCAATTATTTGGCCCATGTGACTCAAGACTGTGCAGTAATAAAGATCATTTTATTTAGAAAATTATATATATTGATACAAAACCCATTCCATAGGGGGAAATGCAGTATGGTAGGAGGGTAAAATTAAAATATTTTTAAAATATTCCAGTTAGCTATTACAGAGATTTTGGGTTCAAAATTTCTGTGATAGCAAAATGGAATACTTTAAAGTCAGCAGATGTGCCGTAAGGATGAATACATGAATTTTTACTTCCTTTTACAAATATCCAGTTGAATGATGCCAAATGTCAGACAGATAGGATACCAACATTTTCATTGCTTCATTTAAATATCTGGCATCTCATAAATACAAGTTAATTTTACCTGCATGTTTTTTTCTTCATGTTTTTTCTTTGACCTTTTGATAGTGGCATTTCCTGCAAGTTATGATAAATATACTCTGTTTTATGAAATAAAAATACTTTTCTAGGAAAAATATACTTTGTTTTATAAAATAAAATCCATTCAACAAACTTTGACTTCTTAATTATTTTTAATTGAATTCACTTCAACCCACAAAAACAGATTGTTTTACTTCTTTGATCTTTCAATTTTTTGGTCATTAAATATTTAATAAATGTCTACTGTGTGGCAAGTGCTGTGCATGTTGCATTTTCTTATATTCTTCCTCATGATCAGAACATCTTACACACACATATACTATAGTAGGAACCAAGTATCTAATAATCACCAAGGTTACATAGTCTTTTCAGTTTAGAAGTTAAGGGTTAGAACAGTATTCAGCACAGATTCGGAAGAACTGGGCTGTAAACAGAAATGACTACCTGGTGATGAACAAGATTAAAATTAGACTTAAAAACAAGGAAGGGCAGGTGTGACAACAAGAATATTCTTCCATAAATAGTTTGGTTGTCTTCTTCATAACTACTCTTTTCACTAGAACAGCATGCCTATGATGACCACTGTGGCAGTCCTCTTCCTTCTATTGCGGTCTCTGTATTGTGCTCTATTTTCTGGTTCCTCAGATGAGTTTAGTCAGCATGATTTAGCACATAAGAAGGCTCATTAGTGTTGCCTAGAAAAGCAGTGTCCCTGAACTGCCTTTCAATTTTAAGACAATTTTCAGGCCTTGCTGTTAACCTTATTTACATCATGTTGTTGCTTTTGCTCTACCCATCTTGCACCTCTTTGTGAGCAACAGCTGTGGCTATTCATGAGATTTTCTTGGCTGTCTACATAAAGCTGAAGTGCATTTTTTAAGCTGTGGCATCTGCGTCATTCCTGGATCACTACTTGGCATCCTAGAGTTTCTGGGACATCTGACATGGTGGCTTTGAGAGCTCTCTTCCTGCTCTGGCCAACCACCATAAGCTCTTCACCTTTAGTTCATATTAAAGGGACAGGACTGAAATGAGAAGCAAATGTTCTCAAATGAGTGATGTGCTTCTAGAATGCTAAGTAAAATTTATTATCCAGATGTTTTGGGTGTTAACATGTCAAAGGGATCCACGTTCTTTGTCATAATTGATTTTGGATACACAAATATAGAAATACTTTTCTAGGAAAAAGTCTTTGCAGCACTGGACTGTAGTATTCAGAATACAGACAGAGTAAATAAGGATAGGACCAGAAATTTTGAGTTTATTTAGGCATATTTGGAGGGCGATAGCCATAGTCAGGACTAGCATTGGAATAACAATCTAGAAGGTCTGGTGAGATGAGTGATAGAGTCAGGTAGCCATTGCATGTGGCTAGCTCATAGTGCATCTTCAACAAATCATTGTTGAATGAATTAATATGCACTTTAATTTAGGGAAGTTTATCATATAGGAAGGCTATCAAAGTCATAGCAAACAAGGATCTTGTTGGACTGGAGTTTGAGGCAGTAACACTATCCACCAAGAACAATGAAATATATTCTGCTCATAGGAATGGGGCTGTTTGTCCTTTGGCCTATTTTATTCTTCCAGCTGTGTATCATCGGCAGCTCTGGGTCCCAGGTGAGTAATTATAGCTGGAGAAAGTCAAGGGCCTGCAGGTGCATCCTGTGCTTGATTGGAACAGGGGCAGAGGTGCTAGGATTACCAGGAGGTTCTTACATTAACATTGCTCATGAACATTCTCACTTCCAAGTGGAGTTTTATGCACAACAGTGGAATGTGCCCAATTTGTAAGCCAAATGATCTCCTCAACTATCAGGGGCAGTCTTTCATGTGCATCTGCTTCTAGGCAATCAAATAATCTAGCCAAGGTTTATGAAATCCTTTTGCAAGCAAGGGACATTCTAAAGACTGTTAAACTTTACTCCCAGTCTCAGATACCATCTTGACAGAGATAACCAAAGTTCTTTTCATGCTGGGGTGATGAAGACTAGAATCTGACTAGAATTAGAACACCATAAATCCTACCTCAGATATATCTAAATAGTCAGGAGGGCATCCCAACTCCTTCTACAATAGAATATCTGTATCTTGTGTGTCTATAGTTTATATCTCATTCAGCAGGTAGAATCAAATCACTAATATCATGAGTGAGTGGCTGTTTCGTTCTATAAATTACCTTTTTGTCATGTTTTAGCTATATTCTAATCAGATCTGTTTAAATGAACAATGTTGATATATTCTAGAAACAATCTTGGAATTCTTACCAGTCTGTCAAAAGGATTATTTGCAAGTCACTGTACTTAATAAGCATTCATTTACAGTTTGTCATGAGCCTATGCTCACTAAATTAACTTTTAAAAATCTTTTTCTATAACTGAGGGAATTTTGAAAATAACACTATAACTTTTCCAGTGTAGCCCTTCTAAACCTATGGGGACTAATACTTTGAATAGCTGTGTTCATTAACATTTTGTAGGAAATAATGCATGCATACATGCACATTTTTACTTTAGAGAGTCTGGCTATGATCCAATACAGCAAAAGAGGAAAAAATATACTTGCAAAGCACAGTTAACTCCCTGACTAAATATGTGAAGGGAAAAACCTAATTTGGCAATATTGGAAGGATGTATATTTTGAAACAAAGACTTCTTTTGGACCTTATGTCAAATTAGTTGGCCATGGTCTAAACAAGAATAACAGGCAATGTATTTGTCTAAAACCCAGCTGCTGTCTCTAATATTTGGTAATGAACTGCTTTTTGTATATGAAGATGACGACAATAACCAACTGGAAGTATGGCATGTGCTTTGAGTAGTGTCTCCAGGAGGGAAACTGGATTATTTCAATCTTCCACACTCTACGGCCAAGCCCCTGTTGGATCTCTTGCACATATTTGTACAAACAAGGTATAGTCTGTGACCAAGTAGCACAGCCAAGCCAACTGGCAGATAAAGGGTTCAAATCCATGACTTTGGTCTATTTATTCCTACTTTCAAAAACACTGAACTAATCATGTACACACATCATTGAACGTCACAAATAATTCCTTTAGTCTGTCCTAAATAAAAGTAGCCCATCAAATAAAAGTTTCAGTTCAGATCACATGACTAGTTTATGTTGAAATTGACTTGATTTCCTATAATGTGTCATGTGACTTAATTATAGTGTGTATTTCAGCCTATTAGTAGTTACAGATTCTAAAAGATGGTAGAAGAATCAAGGCCCCATACATGGAACCATATGGAAATATCACAGTGAAATCCATTAACTTATTCAATTAATATGTGTTAACAATTAAAAAGTAAGAATAAAAAGTACATTCAATTACTTATGCTTTAATAATTTTTTCCTTTAATCCTAAAAAAAAAAAAAACCCACAACAACCTTTTAATACTTACCACTCTCTTTTTGCTCTAAGACAACAAGGAATATGATGCCTATCTGTCTTACACCAAAGTGGATCAAGATACTTTAGATTGTGACAATCCTGAAGAAGAGCAGTTTGCTCTTGAAATACTGCCAGATGTCCTGGAAAAACATTATGGATACAAACTCTTCATCCCAGAAAGGGATCTCATTCCAAGTGGAAGTAAGTATTTTCAATTTTTGTTTTTAAAATAGTTACTTTTAGAAAGTTATATGGAGGCTTCAAGCCATCAGAGCCAAGTATTTAGACAGTTGTTTCTTATAGATTTTTAAAATTCAAATTTCTCCTCAACACCTGTATTTCCCCTTTAGAGCATTTGAACTTTTAAAAGGCATTCTCACTTGTGTTTTAGGTGTGGCTTTTAAATTGTGCCTTAATGGCATTTTTTAATTATATTATGTTAGTGTTCTGAGAAAATTATGGTCCTTTTAAAAAGTCTGTAAAAATCACTGTAAACCATTTCAGTGCATTTCAGTTCCAAAGCCGGTCTTCTGTCATTGTGCTGCTACTTATTCTTCCAATCATTTTTACTAATAACTCTAAATATCTGCATTCCAACCTTGTTATTCATTATACCCTGTTACTCATTCCCAGAATTATGAGGAAAACTCCACTTAAGAAAGGTACATGAGGATATTGGGTACAGCATTCTCATGATGTATGTAAATTACTTTCATGAAGTGCTGGACACTGTAGGCTTGCATGCCACTTTTAACTAATGCTGCAGATTGAATGCTACATTTGAGCTTTCAAAATAAATTTAGCTTCAAGTGAAGATATGTACTTTGTTCTTGTTAATATTCAGAATGCGTACATGGTAAAGTATAATGAGAATACAGAGAAGCCTATGTCATGGTTCCTACTCTCAAAGAACTTTTAAGAATGTTCTTGAGAAAAAATAAGAGAAGGACAACTTATTTCCATGTGTCTGATAATATCCTCGAGAGGAGAAGATTGATCTGGTGAATATAATAAACAACATGATAAATTAAACACATTATAATAAAAAGGCCTGTATTTTCAATACTTGACAGTATATAAAATAATTTCACATACATTATTACACTTGATATTTGCAATAATCCTTATTTTAGGGTCCTTATCCTCCAGATTAGGAATCAAAGGCTCAAAGAAGTCCAAGATTAGACAGCTGGCAAAGAATAGAGCTGGGAGTAGAACCTAGATCTGTTTGACTTTAGTTCTCATTTTGCTATGTCAGGCTGTTCATCAATAACATTTATTCAGATTATTAGCAGTCCGTCATGGTCATAAGCTGATAAGAGACAAATGGAAAGAACTGAGCTTTTGTTGTCCATCTCTTTTCTTAGGGTACATGTATATCTATGTATATCTGTGTGTATACTTTAGTATTCACACTTACACATGCATGGAAAGGAACAAAGAGAACATATTTACTTGTTCATTTCTTTCCTGCAATGTAAGAAGTATAAACATCAGGATTCCCCACACTTCAACCCATGGTCCTCTACTATTTTTTGATAATTTCTCCCATTTTCATGACTTTAAATACCATTCTACACTAACTAATTCCCAAAGGAACATCTGGATAACTCAGCAATACTTTTTGTTCTTCTATCTTCCTCCCAAATCCTGTGCCACTTTCATCTTTTGAATTCTCAGTACCAACAACTCAAGTACAAAAACTAATTACTCCTACAGTGTTGATTATCTCTCTTTACTTTTGTTTCCTGCCATCCATCTGGCCCCATTAATATCATGTGAACATCCTTGATCATGCCACAACCCCAGTTCAATAAACTGATTGTTTACTATTTCCTAAATAATAAATTTCACTCTGCTACCAGCCCAGATTTATCTCCTAAATTTTTCTTCTACCATGTTCTCTACTCATATCTTCAACTCCAGTCAAACTGTGTCTTTTAATACATTGTGTATCCCTTCATTGCTTTTGTTCATGTTAGTCTTCTAGGCCTATTTAAATCCTATTTATCCTTCTTCATATCACTGCCTCAGTGAAGGGTACATAATAATCTCTCCAGCCCAATATTTTATGGTGCATAATTACTTGTTTGACTGTAAATTTTGTACTTCTATTTTGTTTTGTTTTATAACTTGATGCAGCAGCTTTCCATCTATTTATGTCTTGTTTAATCAGCAAGATTATAAGCTCCATGACAATAAATAGGTGCTGAATCTCATTTATCTTCATATTTTACTGTTACATAACAAAAGATTTGGTTTCATTAAGGGTCTCAGTTGTCTTTTGATTTTGTTTGAACAGTGTTGTTTTAAGACAAAAGGTAGTAACAAGTATGAAATAATGAAGGGCTTACATTTGTGCATAGCAGTATTTGAAAGGCATTTCCTTTAACAAGGTGAATGTGAAAGTTAAAAGCAGCATTTTACTGAAAGAAAAAAAATTGTGGGTAATTCATAAGAATAATATCAATCATTAGAATAGGCTAACACAAACAAACACATGACTTTCTCACATCTTCATATGGTATCTGCTTCATTATACACAAAGCAAGTGTCATCTACATACACATGCCATATATATGTATATTTTTTCATTTTTTTGATATTAGAAAAAAATGCCTAGTGGGCTGGAATATAAACCAGCATGTGTGAGCTCCTGGGCTCTGTTCCAAAAATTGCCAATTTTTTAAAAAAGGAAATACCTAGAAGATATTGGTCAATCATTGATGAGAAATTTAAAATATTCGTATACTAGTTCTTGACCTAACTTTTATATATATATATATATATATATATATATATATATATATATATATATTGGCAAAAACATCTTGTGAAACAGAAATTCTTCCAAATCTATTTTAGAGTAATAGTGTCCTAAATTATATTATGGTAATATCATCACCAAAATGGATTGTATGTCAGATCATTTTTAGTAGAACTCAGTATGGTACTAAATTTTCTGCCTTTGTATGTTCCACAATTGTTGGCACAGTTGGCACTCTTAATCAACCCCTATAAATAATTTTTAAAAATGTCAGTCTTTAGATCCGAACATTTCAACATTAGTGATTGTCCTTTTGAACTAGAAAAGAATGTTTCATCATTCTGCACATCTGAAAAGGACAAACATAGCTTTAAAACATGTTGACCTAAGAATATTCCTTATAGGTGATTGATCCACTTTATCTGATACTCAGTAGATGACCCTTGCTTTGTGTATAATGAAGCAGATATTGCATGAGAGTGAGAACAAGACTGGGAGAACATGAAAATATGAGAAATGCATTCCAAAGATATGCCCTCTTATAGCTCCATTATGATGACTTGACAAATTAATTGAATCAGCTCAGTGTATCAGTTTAGCCAAATAGCATGTAGAATATTTTGTACTTAATTGAATCAACAGGTCGTGTGGCTAGGTTGATTGAAATTCATTGGTTGATTTGGTGTACCATATTCTGAAAGTTCTCCTTGACCATGGGAGTAAAGGCCTGCACAAACCATAAAATTTCGTAGCTCAAAGTTTCAAGATTTTGTTATGGATTATAACATACTGCATGAAAGATAACAGGAGATAGTCACGTGGTTTACCTAGGCATTTAAAATATTTCCACGTAAGATGCCCAAGGTAATGGCATTAGGATGAGCAGAGATTTTATAGTCTATAGGAATCATTTTAATACTTTTGATATTGTGTACACCCATCAGCCTAAGCAGGGACTTGCACTTGCATCTTGGATATTCAATGGTGCACAGGAAGACTTTATTTTAATTTTTTTAAAGTAAGCCATTGGGACAAATATGCAGTTTTTAGATGCAACCACTGGAGGGTGTTTGATTTTAATCCTTCCTTCCTGCACGAGGAAATTCATGTTCTCTGAATTCCGATTTGCGAGTGTAACCTGCAGAGGTTCTTAAAAAGGCCCTTTGACAATTTTTCTTTTCCATCAACATTTCAGAGCTAGCTGAGCAGTCACCATGTCACGATTAATGAGTTTTTCCTTGGCATTTTTAGCACGCATTCAGGAAGTCGATGAAGTATATGAATAATATACTTGATTTACACATGAATGACAGAGTAGAACATTTTGGACTTGGTGTTATGTGTGTTATTAAAGAAGCTTCTGTGGTCTGTATTTGCAGCCATCGGTACAGAGTTAACAGGTTATGCTATATAAATATAGACACATTCCTGTGGAAAAAAAAGCTAGTTACGATATTATAAGCTATGTTTGTCCCTCACATCTCATTTAAAACGTGTTGACCTAAGACTACTCCTTCCTCCAGAAACTAGCAATGAGGCCTTTGAGGACTATAAAAGCAGACTTCATGAGATCATTAATCATTCATGACAATGAATTTCTATGAATCAAATTAACAAAGTATATGACACAAACCCACTTATATTTAATGTCTTCAATTTCATGGACCTACAGTTTCTTTTGTGCACTCTTATGGTGTTCCAACCGAACTTTGTCAACACATACCCTTTCCAATGCACACACAGTTTCAAAAGTACTTGAAACACTTACACTCTCTTTTTCTTGACTTCTTAGAAAGCTTAGGAACAAAGAAATCACTTCTGAAAATGAACTGAATATATCTGTACCTTTCCCACATGCCCTACCAGGAAAATGTTGTTTGTTGTTCTCTACAGCAGAGATGGGGAGATTTGATGCAAATATTTTTTTTTTCCTAAATGCTGAGACTAACTGTTCATGTCTGGACATTATTTTCCTGGCAGTGATTACCTTTCCATTCTTGAGCCTGTAGCTAGGATCTTCCTTATGTTTTCTCAGGTTGGGTGCCTAAATGTGGCAAGAATTCTTACTTTCCAGTAAAATTTTGGTCTGTTTCTTCCCAGACTAGAAACATCTGTCCCTGGGAATAGTAAAAGCAACTTTGTTGCCAATAGGCATCTGAATGTCAGAAGTGACAGGCAACCAAAAGGAAGCCAGATAGAAAACACCCTACTCAAACTGCCTAGAGACACAAACTTGAGAAGTAGAGATTTTCTCACCCCTGCAGCTGCTGGGTTTTGTGGTGTAAAGTACTCTACACAGAGCACATTGTGTTCATGGGGCCTAGTGGATCCTTGAGGAATGAACAGATGTGCTCTGAAGCTGACATGTGACCAACAGAAGCCAGCTGTGCAAGTGAGATCCTGAGATTGGGGACATTTTTGGATGAGTACTATT